TGAATCACTAAGTTGGGAAACTCCAGATGTGCTTGTCCTCAACTCTAAGAATGCTAGCTAGGGGAATATGGGAATTGAAGTCCAACATATGTAGAAACCACCACATTGGGAAAGGATGATGTAAAGAAATAATATCTATTTACCTCCAAAAACCAAGCCTATAACAACTATAGAAATACACTCATTTGCATCAGTGGCACGTTGCCTAACTTCCATTATAGCAGTAACTATTATTGCTATTATGGAAAAATAAGATTTTTCTTAATGTATTCTGATTTCTGTTCCAGGAAAATAATAGAAATAGCAACCAACTCCAGGCAGACACCCGGCATTCTCAACTGTCACATAATATTCAACAAAAGCATAATGACTCCATCAAGACAAGTAGGTATTTCGAAACAAGAAGCAGGTATGTTAATATTTTATTGTGGTGGAATCAATCATATTTGTATATGCAGGGGCTGAGGAAAGTAATACCCTTCAAATGAGAGAATGTCATGTATTTAAAATGAGACAAGAGCAGCTTTTGGAATAGTAAAAATTCAAATGCTTTAGATATTTTTCCCGTTTTCCAGCTTAGCTCAGTTTAAAACAGATTTGATGCAGAGACAGAACATTGGGACTATGTTTCAAAGGAACTGATTTTTTTAAAAAATGTCTCTGCCTTATTTTATATCTTTCACCTTCCAGATAAACTGATGGTTTGTCGATAGCACTTCATTTGTGCTACAGATGATGATGACCACCAAAGCACTTCATTTGTGCTACAGATGATGAAGACCACCAAAACCTCAAAGGTGGCAAATCCCCCCACTCCTTAAATATAATATAACTTTAGTGTCGTAAAATATTTAATCCCCAGACTTCACAATGCCTTCTAAACAGAGTGTCCCAACCTGCATAACAATCAAATATTATTTCCTGACTTGGTGTCTTCTACATGCATCAAATGGCAACTCCCATAATTCCCAGCCCCCATTGGGTATTATGTCATCAGTGATCCAATGCATCTGGAAGGTTGGGAGACAAGGGTGGAGCAGAAAGGATGAGAAAGGACTGGACTTCTCCATTCTCAACAAAAGGTTTCTTTGACTACATCAGTGGGCCTAGGTCTTGGCTTACGAACACAAGAAGCTCAACTAATAAACCTCTTCCCTTCCATGAATTGTTGCAGTTCCCCCTTTAAAGTATCTAAACAAGCAGGCCTCAACATCTCAAACACTTGCATCATGCAAATAAACCTTAGAGGTGTCTTAAGTTGCATTCAACGGGATCGTTTCTTTCCAGAACCCATCTGTTCAGTTTGGCTACTAGCACTTTTGAGATTCCTTAATTATGTGCATTCAATGATGTGCCAGAATGACGAGAAGAAACAAAGCTGACACACCAGGAGAGCTGGTAACACATGTCCTCAGATGCTTCTAAATTCTCAGACACTGATTTAACCTCCACCTTAAAAACAAAAAAAGGGACAATGAAGCTGGTTTGCAAGACAAGAACTCTGCAACTGAGGATACAGTACTCAGGGCCCATAGGCTTTGACTTCTGGTATTCCAGAAGCAGGGTTCCTCATCCTCAGCAACTTTAAGATGGGTGGACTTCAACTCCCAGAATTCTGGGAG